GCCTTATAAAGTACTCTATGGGACAAGAGTGGGCGTGGGCGGACGAGTTTCCTTTTCTTGGTGTCAGCTCTTTCTCCTTATCACCTCACTCTCACCATGCTAAATGGAGAGAGCTAGTAGTGGATTGGAGCAGAAGTTTTAGTAACGGAAGCCAGGCGTTGCTGTTGCCCTGCGCAGCCGTGGCCCCGCCGCAGGTGAGTCGCGCTTTTCTTACGTATTTTACCCTGCGAAAGTAGTCATCTTCCATGCTTGCGGACAGGACACATATTCAACGAACGAATTTGCGCGTGAAATAAATTTGCGTGCTACCACATGTACAAGGGTCCTTTTATTCCTAAAGGAGCTGAGGAGGTCGCGAAGAAAAACTCTCGCCAAGGATGCTTATTTCTAGGTGCCCGATGGTTCCGTCCAAACAGAGAAGATAGTATGGCCTAGCAAAGGGCATGACGCCGATTGTGGAGAGAAAAACACGGTACGAAATAAATGATTTCGTTGATAACATATACTGTCACTGTTGCTAGTCGCCACCTAGTCATTAATAGTAGCATGTCAGGTTCACGTTGACTGTTTTCTCTATGATGATCACGCGTTGCAGGAAATGATGAATGCTGGTAAGATACAACGGTATGAGAACATTTAGTATGAAGCGGTCGTGTTTAGAAATAGTAGATGGTTCGTATTTTGTATTCCAGGAAGTTTTGTGTCGACTGTGGCTCAAGAAATGTCAAAGATTTGAACTTTATTAGTCACAGCCTAGCACACTGTCAGGTGGTTACTTTGTGATATTGAAGGGTTTTGATAGAGTAGGTGGAACTGTTTCTCATACCTTCGTGTTAAAATGGTGCAATTTCCGCCTAAGCGATATCTCGTTCAAATGCACATTTGGCTCGGTTAATTGATCCAGATGGCACATTGAACTTCATATCGGTGGTGTTTAGCGAGATTGCAATTACACTCTAGTTCGCTGCGGACGGTTGGGCGTGTCAGCCAGTATGAGTGTGTCACCCCGTCAAAGCCGTTCTCTGCCTTCTTGTTGAAACGCGCATGCGACAAAAAGTGGTAGAAAACGAGTAATACGAAGGATATGATACAGTATTGTCACTTGCCCGCTTCAACAACTGGTGGAGAACGAGTTTGGCACCGCGCCAAACGCAGCCGCACTGACACGCCCAACCGTCCGCAGCGAACTACACTATACTTACAGCATTTCGAGAGATGTTATTAAGTTATGTGGGATGTTTTCATGTGCGCTTGCCAGTGGGAAACTGTTGATGTCGACGCATCTTTTTCTACGTCTGTAGACCAATTCAACTTCGGTTAAAGACTGATGCTCTCTCACATCTGTAGAGAGGGTCAAGACAATCGTAATCTACCGCTTTGTCGCTCGCAGCGATAGCAGTGGCTTTCCTGTAATTTGCATGAGCCTGTCGATTGAAGCACCAGATTTTGTGTGAACCACGAAATCGTTTTATGGCTTTTTTAGTTACACATTGTTTGTTGTCGCCGTCTGTGGCTTGAAGCCATCGCTATTTCAGTGCGACGTTGTGCGCGGCGTCCCACAGCGTAGCAAATTACGATCGTCTCGTCACATAAGTCCCTCTATGGATCCTGATCCATGCTACGTATGGGGAGGATGAGTCCGCGGCTGTAGTATCGTATCACTTTCTCCGGTCAAAGTTTTGCCACGAGCTAGCTTAACGAGTCGCGCTAAATGTCTGCGTACTTGCTGGTTTCCTACCGCTGAGTTCCAGTGCGGGACCTTGGCATCGACGCAAGTAATGAGTAACGCGCAATAGCGCTGGCGGGATATAGAGATGGCACACAGCTGTCGCTACCTGCAGCGGCGTTCCTGTGCACTTTCGAGCAGAGAAGGTTAGACGCTAACCGTCACATTCTGTAAGCTGACTTTCATTCTGAACAGACTGCTCTCATCATGATAGAAACGCCAAAATGGGAGCCTCTCGAGTCTTACATATATTTGTTATCTTTCTATTTTTCCTACTAGCTTTTGCTAGTCCATCAACACTTAACTGATATAATAGTTCAGGAGATGGTAGGTCTGGAGTTATAAGACTTGTAAGACGGAATATATTTTCAGCTGGAATTCATTTTTACCCAGCTTGTACCGCTGAAATCACAACCAGAACGCTTTCCACGTGTTAGATATTGGTTCTCGCCTCGGAGCAGTCATATATGCGGCATCCTTATGTTTGTCATTTCTCATATATGCTACAGACTGACTGCTTTCTTGCCTAGTGGAGTGGGATCAGTGGTGCTTCTTTTCAGTGCGAAAACGAATATCGCGACCGGCATAGAACAAAACGAGGAGTTTGTTAAGCTTCAACAAGAAGTGATTCGTAACTTCAATCTGCAGGTGCTATTACAATCATACATTTATCTTATAAAAATTGTCGATGAAAGGACTTCATAATCGTGTGAGATATCGCTCATTTTAGAACATAGAAGTCGTCTGTGCTGACGTTCGCGCTCAACCAGATCTGGTTAGCAATGCTGACTTAATTATTATGAACAACGTATTCTCTTTCTTTATGGAGGCCGACGAACAGGTATTACGGTGTTGTTGGAGAGTGCTTTTGAAAATAAATGGTGTGCAGACGCTGGGAAAAGTAGGTGGAAGACAGCGTTCAGACTTCGCGATGACGCACCGATGGCAAACGGGTTACAGGGCCTCACGCGTGCTCTTCGGAATCTCGAACTGCTTCCAGGGCTGTGAAGAACACTGACTGCAAAAGAAACTGCTCCGATTATAACGTTTTTTGAACTTGCACCATAGTCGCAGTTGCCGGTGAAGCTATGTCTGTCTGCTTTGTATTATAGGCTGATATGCTTCGAACTTTATAACATCAACAACGCCAAGACGGGAGCTTATTAATGCCACTAATCCCAAGATAGAGACGGTTTTAGCTCATCTGAAATTGTCTTTCACAGTAGAACAATGGTTGGAGAAGGTTAGTTCTATTGCGTTTCCACTGAAGTTTTTTATGAAAGATTTTTCCTTCAGATTCCCATCGACGACGATTGTGAAATGTTTGCGAGCGGAGACGCTGACATACTGGCGGATTGTGCCACATTGGGGCTCTATCGCGTTCTTTAGAGCAACACATTGCAATCTGCGTTCATGCTTTGCGTCAGCGTTTCGAGCATACGACAACGTTTCATATGACAGCGAGTAAACTCGAACTTTTCGAGGGCTGTAGCTGAAAACACCAGCATACGCTTAGAACGCTAGAACGATATATGCACGTTTTTTGACGCGCTCAAAACGCTACCGTACGCTCAAAATGCAGCGACTGCTTTTGGACGATGATTACGAATCCGCCTTCTGTATCCGCTGTGATCCCTCTGAACAGATAACGCAAGTTTTTCCCCAGGGTGGGGTCATACGCACATCTCATCCCGTACGGCCGCTTGACCTACCATCTACCTTTATTTGCATGGTTCTCTGTGATGCACTTTGACAGTAGTGCGCAGCTGAGACGGCATGGTAACTGCTTAGCCTCCTCACGACAGTATTTTTTGCCACTTGTTCTCAAGTTTCTGACTATCTGGCTTTCCCACCACCATATACTTTTATTATCTCACTGTGTTTATTACCAGGGTTCAATTAGTAGGAATTCGAGTTACGTCGCGTGATGTGCTTGTTGTTAGCTTCTTCCAAGCAGTCATTTTTTCTGCACGCACATTGGGGCGACACGCACTCATTGTCTCGACGTAATGCACCATTTCTTTGTTAAAACAGTATTGGGGCGAGTGCTGCGCACTCGGCACTATAGAATCCTTCTTCGTCGCGTTCACCTCAACTTGGAATTCGTGCACTACCAATCATATGGTCAAGTTTGTGATGCAGCAGTCACATCTGAGTAATTGCTTCAAGGTATTCAGTGGGTCGTTTGTTCATATGTTCGTATGTAATTATTGCTTTGTTAGTGTTTCATTGTTCTCGTTATTGTTCATATATGCCATAAACTATGACAGTTACTTCTCGCTTTGATGTTCTGATCTTCTTCTTCAGCGTTTGTCCCGCTTGATGGCGGGGTCCGCTCTTTTGATATAACTACGCCACTTTCCCGATTGAATGCCTGATCGGGGTGAATGCCGGCTATTTTCAAGTTGGAATGCAGTAGTCGAGCCAGCGCTGTTTGGGACGCCCTTACCTCGTCTTCGAGAGCAGTTTTCCGGACGGTGTCAGCCTTCGCGCGAAGTACGTGCCCGTACCATCGAAGGCGCGTTTCACGCAATTTCTCTGCTATGGGGGCTACACCATACTTCTTGCGCACGACATCGTTACAAATGCGGTCCGATCGCGTGACGCCCGCCGTCCAGCGCAACATCTTCAAGAACGGCTTTGAAGCCGCGGCCTAACTCTTTCGACTTGCAACCAGCCCATCTCGTCTCTTGCACGGCACAGAGGTCGATCTTTCTACGCTCTAGGGCTTCTGCTAACTCATACGAGCGTCCAGTCAGCGTCCCCACATTCAGCGTCGCAATACGAGCCTTTAACACATTGCACGTCTTTCGGACTAGCCTGGTTGCCCCCCGATGCCGTCCTTGCAACGAGGACCCTCGCATATTTTTCACACTCGTCGGGCCTTGCGAGTGCGCGTCGGCTCCCGCGGACGCCGTAGCATTATCTCGAATTCATAAGGCATAGTTAAACATGATGATGTGACATGGGGTGTTCGTAAGCCGGCCCGTCACGAAGGCCTGTCGCCTGCTGTCGTGTTTGTCCGTGTTCTGCTCAGCCCGCAAAAGCGAGCAGGTCCCGGTGGCACCACTTGGAGGAACGGACGTCACCACCCTTTGATGTTCTGATCACGGCCTGGAAACTTGTACCTGAAAGTGCTGACAAGGGGGAAAGTCCACGTGCTTCGTTTTGAACAGGTGTGATATCCTTGTTGTTGTGAAGGGTTGGATTTCCTCATGAGAGACAAGCATGGGCAAATCTATCTTGAAAGAGAAATCTTGATCAAAGCCCGACCTGAAGGGCACAGCCCGCTTCGAAAATGATAAGTTATGCGGCTCAGATAGTAACAAAGGGTAGCAAGTGATTAAGTAGTGAAGAAAAAAAAAGCAGAAAAAAATTATAGGATGCTATATATTAGGTTGTTCGAAAAGTCCTGCGACACTTTGACCAATTTTTCGGACTAAATTTTCAGTCACTAAAAGACATCTCCAATCTACAAGGTAATCACCACTAAGGACTAGGACTAGTGCCCTTCTTTTGCACAGCTTCTCATTTCCATTCTTATAGAACTACGGCAACTATGGTGGACCTCATTTTTGAGTAGACGTCGATTTTCGGAATTTTTGCCTTCTTAAGGATGCGGTAGGGATCAAAAAAGGTAGTAGTTAGAGACTGCTAACTTTGATGAATAAGCTGGGTATGGTCGCATTCTCAGATCAAGATCCACGATCTTTTGGTGTGGCCTGATCCTAACATGCGTTCTTCGCCATTGTCGAGAGCGCCGGTAGAGAAAAATTATATTTTGAAGAATTCTAAGCGTGACTGTCATCCTTTGTGACGGTGGTTAGAGTGAACTGTAGTCCTTACCGTTAGGCTAGTATCCAGAGATACTGCTTGAAGTCCCACCAATAACCTACTGAAATCTTTATCCCATGCACATCTGCTTTTGGCTGTGCAATCTACTTTTCTCTCTGAGAGATCCTGCGAGGAACATGTGCAAGATGTACGCAAGGACCCCACCACTCTCCACAACAAGAAGCTAATCTCTTTAGTTATTACCGCCACGGTACCGCTAACCCGCAGCGGCGCCTTAACTGGACTCTGCGAAGGCCGCGCTAAAAACATCACAGCACGGACGCTGAACTACGGCCGTATTTCATTTTTGTGGGGAAGAAAAAGGCTATGTGCATCCGATGTGTTTTGCAGCATTTCCTATGAGAGGATCCTGATCTGTCTTGTGTTACCATGCTGCTTCAAGCACTTCTTACGTTCTGCATCGCTTGATGCTAACTTCGTTTGTAAACGGGCTTTCCAAGGTCGCTTAGTAAACGATACATTGATGTAATACTACTGTCGATTTATTAGCCTCATCGCCTTGAAAGGTGGAATAGGTGGTACTTGCATGCAGTTGGTAGCGTCCATGACTACGACTTTTCAACCTGGGAATGGAATAATTTTTTTACCTCAAAACATAGTTGCAAACTGTGAAATCGTCCTCAGAAGTAGAACAAACATTACTGTGGAAACTAGAGAGCCAAAGTTGGGACAGGAACTGCGGGGCACAGTTCTCTGTAACACCGCCAAGATGTGACGGTAAATTATGTTAGAAATTTTCATCACAAACATTCTCTACAAGAGTGCATGGTGAAAATTCATGGAATAAGTTGGGAAAGCACTTGTAAAAGAATTTTCTAAGGTAAGTTGGCTCTTTATATTCATGTATTTATTCTCCAAATCCAAATACTTAGAAAGAAGCGTTGCCAGCGGTATAAATTCCCTTCCATATGCCAAACATTCAGAGCCTCCCTATCGAGACAAAATTTCATCCGAAATATGTACCCTAAACATCTCCGTCCACACTTGAACACTCAGTATATGAAGCATTTTCCACACAATCCCCGTTAGAAGTAACCTGCGTTAAAGTCGGTCTAACGTACGTCCACTAGCGGAGTTACAATAACTGAGGCGCCGCTTTGGGTTACGGGTACCGTGGCGTCAATACTAACTTAGCTTCTTGCCCCTCACTCCTCCACCAAACCACAATATCCACAAATGTTCTCCGAGTGTGTACAAGCGAAAAAAAAAACTCATTCAACGGCTCATTCGGCTATGACTTTTTTCAAAGGAGTATTCAAACTCACTGGGCATCCTTCATAAAAATTTTTTCCGAATACCGTAGATCTACGGTAAGCATGCTAGTTGGAGTAGGTGGCAGCCTGGAGAGCGTGCAATCTTACTGGTGGTTACTTCGCTGCCTCTAAGAAGTTGAGTAAAGGCGCATTCGTGGTGCTGGAGCCACCTATACTATACCATTGTTACTTCCGAGTTGAATAAGTCCAGCCTGGAAGCGCTGATGCAAAAGGAACTCTCTGCTATGGCAAGCGATATCCTTCCTCAAGACAACGTAAGTGTTAGCTTCCTCGACTATGGCGGAGCTTGCCCTACAGGAACTCATAATATGTATCTTATTTATTTATTATCCATCACTCATAGAGTGCGCTAAGCATACCAAGCGTAGGCTTAGAGTAAAGAACACCAAAATACGATTACCATAAAAAATTTCGTAACACAAAAGCAACCGAGGAAGAACTTTCACTTAAACTACTGCGAATTCAATCCTAATGTCTTAGCAAGGTCAATCAGATCGACCTTCTTTAGTCTCTTTCTGAACGTGTAGGTGTTAGGCGCCTCCAGCAGGTCTGATGGAAGTAATTGGAGATACCTTGCTCCACGGAAAAACAGTGAGTTGAAAACTCTGGTTCGGTGGCCATTGCACAGTTTAGGACATTGTAAGGACAACGAGGAGGTTGCCATAATAAAATAATATGGGATAGGTCGAGAAGTACCTCGATCTCTGAGGTATTTTTAAGCTTTGAAAACTTCCACGGAGCCATGATATACCCATTTTCAGAAACCCCAGGAGACAGTCTCCACTAATCAGAGATAAAAACATTCAAAATGATTTTTGGTCTTTTTCTAGAATAGTTCAAACAAAGTGTCGCAGGACTTTTCGAACAACCTAATAGAACCCCGTGCCAAACCGTGTTTGTATGTACGTAAGGCCAAGAAATGGTCGCGATCGCAACAGTTCTAAACTGTTGGTGCAAACTCTTTCCCTTATCGCCGCACTCTCAGCATTCGCAATGGAGAGAGTAGCGCAACAACTGCAACCACCAGAAATGAAGTTGGGAGTTGCGGCAGTCAGAAGGAGGGGCGGCAGTTCCTTCACGAGAGGGCAGCGCTCTTCCCTCGTACTTTTTAGCTGCGGAAACGAAAACTTCTTCAACATCATGTGGAGGCTACCATATCCAAAAGAGGCGTGGGAACATTACATGAACCCTGCACTGCCTTCAAGTTCAGAAGACTAGGGTGGTGAAAAGCGAGTTGTGCCCATTCGCCTAGTGTAGTCA